TGTGTGGTTGCGTGTGTGTGTGTGTGCTGAAATCTCCATATTACACTGGCAGGCCCAAAGCAGCCTCGCTAGAGAACTGGACTAGGGTTTGACGTTACAACTGCTTTTATTTTGAAGGCACAGCTCAAAGCCACAAACGATCTAACTTACTGCTGGACGATTGACCTAGAGCTTCCCATGCTTCCAGAAATAAAGAAGGAAGGCAGAAGTATAAATAAAGTGTTATTGCACATGATGTTCACTTCCAGTTGTAGTTTTATTGAAACAGTTAAACTGATTCAGACTCATTCTGGCATCACTTTGTTGTAGTCACTACTTTCCAGCTACTCTGCACTTTCTCTGTCTCTGCTGTTCTGTTCTGAACGAGCAACTACATATTGCACTCTGTAGGACTGTTAGACTATAGTAATACTATATAAGGATTGAAATGCATTAACTTGTAAGGTCACTAAATCCACTATTCAGTACAGACACTGAATATATGAAATACTACAGTAACTTTGTGCCATACAGTGTGATAAGGTCACTGATTACAGCAGACACATTATATTAGCCTGTGGGAATAGGCTGCCTTTGCTTTCTTTTTCTTTCTTTTTCAGGTTAGTGTGTTCGTGTTCAAATGTTAACCAACTGTAATTAAAGTGTGAATCACAAATATTTCTGTCCAAGCCTTGGCTGTTTATAATGCATTGTGACTGCATGCAGTACCTATCACCTTTGTGGCACAGGGACAAAACTCTTGTGGTTTAAACTGCCCTCTGCTGGTTCAGAAGGCTTCCTGCAGTGATCTCTAAAGGCAGGGACGCATTATAGAATAGATCCAGGGACTTGGTTTGGAGTAAAGGCACCTGAACCTTTTTGATTGTACACAATATTTTTGTCAATTCCAGGTGTAATGGGTCTTCCAAGGGAAAAGTAGAATGCTTTTGCAATGATCCTTTCTATTTATCATAGACCCATTAAACACAAGAAAAGTAAACTCAAGAAGAGAACTGTTTTATTTCACAACAAAACACCTCATGCAGTATGTGTGCTTGTCTAAAACACTGTCTTTATATTCAAAAATGATCCCCTACCTGTGATAAGCACTGTTAAGCATTCAAATGCCTCCATTCCTCAGCAGCCCACAAGTGTGAAATGTCTTCTACTCAACATGTTTCAACCCTCCACAGACATAAATTGTACAAAATGTGTTTGTTGTACACACACAGAAAGGATGCAGTGTTTAGAACAACCTTACTTTTACAGGTTTCTGCATAAGGGCATATATGAGTCCAAAGCAGGGAGGCTTCATTCCCTAGCTTTAGCTGACCTAACAAAGGTGTGCTGGTTATACCTTCCATTATCTTCCTTCAGAAATCAATACAATTCATTAGAGCTTCTAAATAACGTCACATATTCGAAATGGGTAAGACAAGGATGTGTTTAAAATCTTTCCTCTCCAGAGCACAGATTCTTCTTCTTTTTGAGTGACGTGGATTGAACAGAGGGTTTATTATGAGGCTATGAAAAATGAAAACATCCAGTGGTTTTCAGCTGAGCCTGGCGAGCATGTGAGGCCACACTTCCTTATGAAATCACTGTTAATAATGTCAGAACGACCCCTGAGGCGGGAACGAGGGAGTTTTGTATGAAGCAGAGAGGGAGTCTTGATGGCTGCACATCCTAAAAGATTTCAGCTACTGAATTCTAATTTCAGTCCACACTGATGGCTGGTCACGTGTAAGAGCAGACTGACCTATCAGAGTCAGACGAGTGTTAGTTCCCAACTCAGAATCTAGGTTTGAGTCTTTCTCACTGCGCTCTCAGCATAGCTTATCTGCTGTTATGGATCATAACTGTGACAAAAGCATTACTGATGAATCACACTACTGTCTGCTGGCTTTTACAAATAAATGCCTGTTGCCAGAAAGAGAAAAGCACAGTAAATACCCAGAATTCTGCAATGTTCAGCTGCAGCAGGCAGAACATAGAGACTTACATTAAGCCAGATGGAGAGAGGAGTATAAAATAAATATTAGATTTGTTTTATATCATAATGAAATTGAGGCACATTTTAGGAACACTGGTTATTGCATTTTAAGTTTTCAGCAAACACAAAAATGAAAATGCTGATGATTTTGAAAAGCATAAAAGCTGTTATGTCATTGGTTGATTAAATAACGCATGTTGGAACCTCAAAAGTGCGTAAATATTTAATGCTTTGGGTTCTTTTTCTAAAAGTGATATTGCAGTTTTGACTACAACTTGTACTCACTTCCTATAGCAGGTAAAGCTACAAATACATACTATACGGCCAACTGTATTACACTCTTTACAGCTCAACTTTCTGCAAAACAAGCTGGTATCTTGCACCTCATCAAACACATGCACTCAGTGTTACAAACACACCAGGTATACGGTTTCCATCAACGTATGTGAAATTGAACCACAGAAAGGTTGTTTCGGAGGCCCAGCAGGCAGCCCGGCCTTCCTCCCATCACAAGCGTCTGAACTCGGAGCTTTGTGTCTGTCTTCCACCTGTAACCAGCTGAGGGTTAGATAAATGGCAGGTGGTATTGAAAAGAGTCCCCATTCACTGCCATGCTGAGCTGCACTTAGACACATTATTGCAGTCTGGAGGAGAACTGAAGGGACGTGGGGGGAATGTTGAAGCAGGGCGGTCTGCAGACTGCCAGAACATGAGCGAGACGGGGGAAACAAGCATGATACAAAGAAGTACATAGCTGCCTTTGTGCGGCGATAAAAAGAGGTTTTGTAAGTTGGAGGACTTGGATGGAAGAGGATGGAAGAGATAGGGCTGAAAAAAACCCAGCCAGAGTAAACACTGGGATAGAGAGACAAAAACATACTAGTTGCAAGAGGAAGGAGGAGGGAGAGAGAGAGAAGGAGCGAGAGGCATATCATTTGGCTGAAGTGCCTTCAGAGTGCTGCATACACACAGTCTCACAGTTCAGTGGAAAGCCTCTTACAGCAGCATCGTCCACATTTCTTCTCACTTCAATTTTCAGTTCCAGTTTAATTTGCATTACATTAGAATTCATAAAATCAAGAAAATATCAGAAAACAAAATCTTAGCTCCGTGTGTGTGCGTGTGTGTTTGACAGAGATTGTGGGAGTGTGTGTACTTTTCACTCAGTTCGGGCCGTGAGGATTTGGTTGTTTTTCTTCACTTAAAAGCGTGCTGAGAAACTTTTGCAGCCCAAAATGGCAGCAAGTGGGAAACTCATGGAGCTGTTTGAACTTCAAATTATGTAACATTTGTAAATAAACTGCAAGCTAAGTTGCCAATGAACACAATTGTGGCCAGTCTGCAATCACTTTGTGTGCTGTTTAAGTTTTCACGCTTAACATTTGAATGTCAGTTCCGATTATTTTAAACCAATATCCACATGAATAATAGTTGGCAGAATAATCTCACCAAGTTCCATTTAGTAGCTGTTGCTTTTGATCATACTGAGTTTCATCAACAGATGGAGTTTGCCAAGTTGTCAAAAAATTTAAGTTCCAGTGTGTAACATTTAGGAGGATCTATTGGCAGAAATGGAATATGATATTCATAGGTATGTTTGTGTATAATCAACTGAATACAAGAATTGTTGTGTTTTAATGAGTAATCTTGGTTGTCTTCCCTGAAGTCCGCTATGTTGAACCACTATGTTTCTGCAGTAGCCCAGAACAGACAAACCAAACACTGGCTCTAGATAGGGCCTGCCACGCTTTTTCAACTTTGCGGCCACTATAGTTTCTCCTACACACTTCACAGCCATTGGCTTTAGAGTTGAGGTACAATGTTGATTTTTTACCTCAGTTGACAAATCAGTCTCATTTTTGCCGGGAGCTGAAATATCTACAGAGGTCTTCTCTCCAAAACAAACGCTCCTGGTGATTAAAATAGGTAAAAACACTGAATAAAAGAGTTTCACCTTTAAAATCAGTGTTTCCCTGATGCTGTTTGGCAACGCCCTTGTTTCAACGGCCAGGGGAAAGGGGGTTGAAGCAAGTGAGTTGCAGTGTGCAACTACACTGCTAGATGCACTAAATCCTACACACTGGACCTTTAATATAAAAATACTGACTAGTGCAGCTTTAAGTTAACGTTAATGTATCAAGGCTATAGCTAAAAATCTGTGTGTACATATTAGACTTGTATCAAAAAGAAATTATCACAAGTTTCCCTGTCTGTTTTGCTCTAAAGTTTCTGCTCATTGTTATTTTGGCAAAGTTGACACATGTTCAGCATAAAAAGTTCCAATGCCATAAAGATCAAATAGATCTCTCAAAGCTTCCTCTGGGTTG